GATACAATCTAAAGTAACCTCTGTCTCAAGGAGAGGAGTAGGACCCCAGTGCATTCTGCATCCTAAGTCATGGCCTGAGCAACTGATAACTAATGAAAAAGTACCAGGCTCTTGAGAAGATGTAAGCTCTGAAAGTTGAGAGGGATAGAGAACGTACAAATTGCTCCAGGTTAAACAGAAAAGGAGAGTCAGCTCTCTTTCGTAGGGTTTCCCTGATCTCATGCAAGTCCATATCGCTTTAAATAAATTATATAGGAAGTAAGTACTAAAAGCTCTAGCTCTCTCTCTCTGATGGCTGAATGGATTGAGAGAACCTCTTTGTATCACATGTAATTGAATTTAAGGCTCTGTATTCTAAAAAATATTCAACACAAAATATTAAGAAACTTGGCAACTCAAAATGTGCTACACTTTATTTTATGTTGCTGCAACTATGAGGTTAAAAACTCAAGCAAGAGAACCCAGGTGCTGTGGGGCTAAAACAAAGACAGACCATTGTAGAACAAAGAAATGGGATATGGAGCAGTGGCACTGTGCCCCAGTCATAGGAAAATGAACCTGGAGATATCAGTCAGAAATAGCAGGCACTGAATGTCACCAGAGCCTGCAAAAGCAGCTCCTCACTGGAAATGGCCTATCTAATAGCTGGTGGATTATCTCTTGAGTCCATATTGGGCTCTGTCCTCTCCATAGATGGGCTTCTCATTAGCTGATTATACTATAGACTGCTCAATACCATTAGATAAGGCAACTTATGTTAGAAATAGTTTACAAATTAGCTGCCCTTAATGGCACAATATCATTTTTCTTGTACTGTTTTCGTTGTTCTCCTTTTCTTTGTCACAGAGTCAAGGGCCAGGCTGACCAGGACAGAAGTCTTGGAGGTTCTTGAGACATGCATTTTTGACTCTGCAGTGGAAGAGTCAAATCCCATTCCTAGATCCAGCTTCTCAGTGAGCTTAAATAGCAAAAGACAATCTGTCAACATAACCTAAGCTCAACAGACTCTAGGCTTTCACGATCATCACTTTCATTTTAGTGGCACTTGTTTGGCACCATAGTACAGATACAATTTTATTGTGGCACATTAAAAACCATCAACAACCATATGAACCAAAACTATCTTCTTGTCCTAGGCAGGATTTAGGGAGCTCCCAGGAGGGAAGAGGTCACAGCTCTCAATTGGACCTTTCATGTAGAAGAAAAAAAGATCAATGGGCCAGCAGTTTAGCCAAAAGGCATAATGGGGACTAGCTTCAAGGTGAATAAAGAGAAAGAAGCAGTGGTGGGTAGATTGTAGAACCAGGCGTGTGAGGGAAGGGAAAGTGTGTGGAGTGGGAGGAAGCCTGAGGAGGTTTGATAGAAAGGAGGTTCATCTGCCAGATGGAATTCTGAGAGTGTCTATAGAGTCAGCATTAGAAGTCTGAACTAGAAAACCTGATACGCAGAGCAAAGGGAAGGACATGGGTGGGGATAAAGGGAGAGGAGAAGATGGGAAACATTTGACCATTTGCAGTTTCATTGGAGATATTTTCCCCCAAAAGTTTGCAGGTTCAAACATGCCAAATTTAGGCAGCAGTTTTGGTTGCTGAGGGCATATTAGAGCCAGGTCAAAATCCAACTTGACCATACCCCCACCCCAAGCCAAAGGGATGTCTTTAAAAGTAGGTAGCCTATTGTGTACAATGTAGGTCTGTATCAGTTAGTGCTAGTTTATTTCTTGACCTACTACAACCCAACCCTGGATCTGGAGAGGAGATAATGGCTCTCAGAGACAGTGAACATGCCTCCGCCATGTTGGACTGGGTGGAGCCAACCAACAGGCAGTGCCACAGCATTGGTCCTAGTCAGGCCTGTTTGGCATTAAGAAAAAAAAGATGCTTCTGGATAGAAAATAATTACAGATACACAATAAAGACAGATTCAGAAAAAAAAATCTCTAAATGGGTCACAGTGTTAGATAAAAGTATGTAGGCTTGGGAGAAAGAAAAGAGTATAGAGAGTGATAAAAAGAAGTAAATTGTTTAAAAAACTAAAGCAAAGTCTTTAAAGAGACAGAGTACAGGCAATCATAGATTAAAGGAGAAAGATAATAAAATAAATATTAAACTTGTAGAAAAAGTAATAGAGTAAAAACAAGCCATGTAAAGATGGAATATACACAGAAAGTCTGGATTATGTATACTATTGTGTTTTCTTTGTACAGACTGCTAAGCTAAATCAAAATATATATTTTAAAGGTATCTTGACTTCAAAATTTGGGTCTAAGTATCTATTGCTTTGGAATAGAGGTTCTGCTTTTGTTTCCACAGAAGATGAGAACCTGTGGATTTCTTCTTTTTTTCTTTTTTCTTTCTTTTTTTTTTTTTGGATTTTTCGAGACAGGATTTCTTCAAGACTAATGTGTTTTGATGGACAAAGAGCCCCCCAAAAGGTTGCTGCAAACATCTTCCAAAAATTACTTCATCCAACAAAAAGCAGGAAGCAGGTTGGGGAGAACTATGCCCATATTCCAAAATATTATTTATAAATGTTTGTTTACATTTAAAAAGGGATATGATATAGAGATCAATAACTTGTCTTGGTATGGATCTTGGTTTATTGATACAAACTTAAGATCAATTTGTTTTATATATGTATATACATATATTTCTGCTCTTGATTAAGGTATTGTGTTTGTGCAGCTCATTTAAAAATTCAATGTATAGTTAAGAAATATAGGTTAATAGATAATCATCTATAATAGTCAAGCTTGTAGTCATATTAGTTAGGTTTTCTAGATATATAGAGATATATTTCAGTTAGATAAGAATTCTTCAAATTTTTAGAGACCTTCAGAACATTGCATTTAAAATGTTTTAAGAACTTAGGACTTTTCATGACATGAGACACATCTGCTCCTGGCAGCACCAATTACTTTAAGAGGATATTGGGCATTGAAGAGGCTCCTTATGGAGTTTGCTAGTCATTTGGGCAGGAAACTGCTCTTGCTTGATGTTTTGCTGTATGAACTGGACATACAGCACTCACAGAAAAATGACTTCTGAATTTGTCTAAAGGTGAGACAGTCCTTTGGGGTTTTTGCTTCATGAAAGAGACTGGCAGACATTTTATAGGACACAGAAGAAAGTGACTGACAAACTGCCAATATAGGTGAAAATGTGTTTGAAATTTCCTGCTTCATGGAAAAGTCTGCTTATACTATGGGCCAGTAGGCTGAAGATGGGTGCCCGCAATGTTATNGTAAAGATGGAATATACACAGAAAGTCTGGATTATGTATACTATTGTGTTTTCTTTTAGTTATTTGACTGTGAAGGAGCTAAGTACAGAGAGACATTTCATTGTACAGACTGCTAAGCTAAATCAAAATATATATTTTAAAGGTATCTTGACTTCAAAATTTGGGTCTAAGTATCTATTGCTTTGGAATAGAGGTTCTGCTTTTGTTTCCACAGAAGATGAGAACCTGTGGATTTCTTCTTTTTTTCTTTTTTCTTTCTTTTTTTTTTTTTGGATTTTTCGAGACAGGATTTCTTCAAGACTAATGTGTTTTGATGGACAAAGAGCCCCCCAAAAGGTTGCTGCAAACATCTTCCAAAAATTACTTCATCCAACAAAAAGCAGGAAGCAGGTTGGGGAGAACTATGCCCATATTCCAAAATATTATTTATAAATGTTTGTTTACATTTAAAAAGGGATATGATATAGAGATCAATAACTTGTCTTGGTATGGATCTTGGTTTATTGATACAAACTTAAGATCAATTTGTTTTATATATGTATATACATATATTTCTGCTCTTGATTAAGGTATTGTGTTTGTGCAGCTCATTTAAAAATTCAATGTATAGTTAAGAAATATAGGTTAATAGATAATCATCTATAATAGTCAAGCTTGTAGTCATATTAGTTAGGTTTTCTAGATATATAGAGATATATTTCAGTTAGATAAGAATTCTTCAAATTTTTAGAGACCTTCAGAACATTGCATTTAAAATGTTTTAAGAACTTAGGACTTTTCATGACATGAGACACATCTGCTCCTGGCAGCACCAATTACTTTAAGAGGATATTGGGCATTGAAGAGGCTCCTTATGGAGTTTGCTAGTCATTTGGGCAGGAAACTGCTCTTGCTTGATGTTTTGCTGTATGAACTGGACATACAGCACTCACAGAAAAATGACTTCTGAATTTGTCTAAAGGTGAGACAGTCCTTTGGGGTTTTTGCTTCATGAAAGAGACTGGCAGACATTTTATAGGACACAGAAGAAAGTGACTGACAAACTGCCAATATAGGTGAAAATGTGTTTGAAATTTCCTGCTTCATGGAAAAGTCTGCTTATACTATGGGCCAGTAGGCTGAAGATGGGTGCCCGCAATGTTAAAGAAGAACTTTGGGTAACTGTCCGGGCAGCAAGATGTCTCTGTCAATTCTCCCCCAACAAGCCTCTCTCACAGTTCTCCAAAGCATGGTTCACTCTAGGCTAGTCTTTTGATCATGCTGCAACAGTAGAGTACTTGCATAGCATGCACAAAGCCCTGCTTTTGACTGCCTCCCTAGTACCACAAAGTAAATGGAAGAAAGGCCGGGTAGTAGTGGTGGTGCATACCTTTAATCCCAGCACTTGGAAGGCAGACGCAGGTGGATCTCAGTGAGACAGAGGCCAGCCTGGTCCACAGAGTGAGTTCCAGGACAGCCAGGACTGTTACACAGAGAAACCTTTTCTTTGAAAAAAAAAAAAAAGGAAAATAAAGAAAGGAAGGAAGGAAAAAAGGAAGAAAAGAAGAATGATAGAGAAAAAAGGAACATGTTTTAAAATGACATGTTTATGTATTTCCATATATTCTGCAAATAAAGGCATCTGAAGAGATGTATTATTCTCATGTAATGCAGAGGCAGTTTTGGAGCATAAGCATCTGTGTGAGGTTTCCAGGACTCCACAGGGAGCAAATGATGGCAGGTACAAGTGCTGTGCTTTTTGTATGCCTGGTACTTACTCTCTGTTTCAGTTTGTCCAGGTCTGATGGGCAGCAGGTAGCGGATGAAGCACTGGAACTAGCTAGGCAGCTTTCAGGGTGCTTGCTATTATTGCTGCATCCATGTACCTGGGAAACGTGCATTGGGAAAGTAAGGGAATAGTATCAGGTTACTTTCATTTGCTGAACTGTTTCTTAGTTTATTGACAAATCTCAGATCTAAATTCTTTCTCTTAAGAAGATTTTTTTTTCTGACCACCATTTTACTCTGCGAATTGATTTCTTTTACACTACAACATCAAATACTTTGAAGACTACTTTCAGAATGGCCGATACACAGAGAGAAAGCTTGTCACAAAAAGAGAAACAAGGATATCCTGATTTCTGTCCAGGCAGAAACATCTGCTGTACTGGGTGTAGTGAGAACAGAATTTTCCAGTGAAAGAAGTCTAAGGTAGAAGATGAAATTTCAACCCAGAATAAACAAACTTCGACAAGAGAATGAAAATCTGCAGCTTATGTAAGAAAGGAAGAGGCAGAGCTCCAGGCAAGTGCCCAGTGCTTGATCTCAAACACAGATTTATAAAAGGAAAGAAAGAAAGAGAGAAAGAAGAAAAGAAAGAGAGGATGGATAGAAGAAAGGAAGAAAAAAAATAAAAAGTAACATATTAAAAATAAAGAATTTTTATTTTTGTAAAGTAACAAAGGAAGCAGAAAACAGTGAACAAATTGCTTTGAGTTCTTTGATTCTTCTTAGTCCTGAGCCACACAGAAAAGTTTAGCTGTTTCTAAAATGTGGATACTCACTGCATCTGCTGCTTTCAGTCACTGAATATAGGTTCTGCAATGACAGTTAGGGTAGCCTCTAATCTGATTAGTGCCAGTTTAGACACCCTTTTCACGATTCCTAGGAGCTTTAGCCGGGCCCATCCTAGTGGATTCCTGGGAATTTCCCTAGTACCAGGTTTCTCCCTAATCCCATAAGGCCTCCCTCTATTAAGATATCTCTTTCATTGCTCTCCCTTTCCATCCCTCTACACAGAGAATTCCTGTCTCAAAAAACTAAGAAAACAAAAGCAAAAAAAAAAAAAAACCCTAAAAAAACCACAACCCTATAAATCAAATCCTTTGGAAGAATTAATGAAAATGAACAATGACGGATGAGGGCCAATTTTACTGAATATTTATCTTTCTTACCTGTAAATCACTTCTTCTGATACTATCTTTCTCAGTGCCTAAAGGATTCTGGATTTGTTATTTTCTTTTCTTTTTTTAAAGCTTTATCTTATTATCTTATGTGTACAGTGTTTGTCTGGATGCATGTCTGTGTACTATCCGGGCACCTGGTACCTAGAGAGTCCACAAGAGGGTGTCAGAGTCCCTGCAATATGAGTTACAGACAGTTGTGAGCTGCCCTATGCGAGCTGGGAATGAAAGGTTCTTGGCCTCTGAGCCATCTCTAGCTCCTTTTGTTTTCTTGATGAAAGTTTTGCTCTGGCTAATAAGCTGAGACAATTAAATTTTAGCTGGACATTTTTCTCAGTCATACCAAATGGTGATTTGCATATTCATAATGCTGAATATAAGTGTTGTGGAATATTAGTTTAAGATATTACATTTGTTTATGCTGGGAACTATTTGTTTAGTGATGCAAGGATGTGTTGCATTCTTTTATGCTGCAATTGTTTAACTCTGTAAAACTATGTTACTTTGCTTGTCTAAAACATCTGATTGGCCTAATAAGGAGCTAAAAGGCCAATAACTAGACAGAAGAAAAGATGGACTGGGCTGGCATGCAGAGACAATAACTAGGAGGAGAAAGCTAGGCTCAGGAGGGAAGAGAGGAGGAGCGAGAAAAGGAGGAGAGGAGGACACCAGGGATCAGCTACCCCATCACACAACCAGCCATGGAGTAAGAAGGGAAGCACGACATATAGAATAAAGAAAGGTAAAAAGCTTAGAGGCAAAATGTAGAAGTAGAGAAATGGGTTAATTTAAGTTATAAAAACTGGCTAGAAACAAGACAAGCTAAGATATGCCATTTACAAATAATAATGTGTCCGTGTGTTTCTTTGGGGGCTCTCCCCCCACATTTCTTTGGGAGCTGGGTGGAGAGCCCCCAAAGAGTCAAAAAACAGCAACTACAGTAAATTCCCATTTTTCTCCACATGAGATAGGTCCCTTTGGGATACCAGTGCTGAGATGGGGGGTTGGGTAGAAAGGTGGAGCGATAAATGCGTGGGACATTCTGGAAAGAAAGCCTTTTAGCACATGTTTTGACTATCTGCCATGCCCGCATTCTCAAGCTAGTTAAATAAAATGAAAAGCATATAAAGAATACACAAAAGAGCCTGGAGTTCTAGAACACTTGCTTAGCATGCGTATTGGTCTGTGTTTCATCTCTTGCACTGTCACACACCCAAACACCTTAAAAACAACAAAACTGATTGCTAAACTCTGAGAGAAGATGTTAAGCAGGAGAGGGGCAAGGCCCTTGGTTGTAGAGGGTCTGAGGACCTCAAACTCATAGATAGCCCAGGGAAACCAGAAATGTTGAACACATGGGCTTTTCTGTTCAACAGAAGACATTTCTGCATGTTTCTGACCAGAAAGCTGGGAATGGATGTAGTTAATAACTTGGTGATCTTTGCTATCTGTAAGGCTGGGCTACACCTTAATCCCCCAGACTCCTGGGTATTGTTTCTCAATCCAAGGAACCCATTCTTATGAAAGAGGCCTTAACGTACTTTGCAAAAGGCTCTGCTATTATGAGTAGTATCCCCAGCCCTTTCTTCCTAGACTCTTATCCTGACCATTGCTTCTCAGTCAATAGAACCCATTCTTATGGAAGGATCACAGGTTCTTCACAAAAGTCTTTGCAAAGGAGTTTTGATGTAGTCACGCCTTAAGCTTTACTGTGATAATAATCACAATGAAACCTTTCCCCCAGAGGTGTCCTGTGCTCAGCCATGTCAAGAATAGACTGTTCAGGATCAGACGCCAAAAGTCTGAACCAGCACCATCTACCACATTTCCTTCTGAACTCACACAGATCCTTGCTCTGTCAGCTGTGGAACTTGCAGACCCACACTTGGTCATCTCACCATGCTTCAGAAAGGGGCCTGAGACCCTGAAGGTGCTTCAGCAGGAATAGCCTGCTAAGACCAGTACCTGCTACCACAGAGTGACTTCTGAATGAGGAAGATCCTCACAGTTATGCCTGAGCACCCCCTCCCCATTCACTATCACAAAAATCCCCAAATCAGTGAGGATATATATTTCCGATTCTATTCCCATTTTATTAAATCTGCTAAATGAACTCTTTATATAGATGAGGTATTGAGATTTAAGTGTCTAAAGTGAAGTGCAGAAAGCGTGTTGAAGACAGTGGCCTGAGAACATCTCTTTTCATTTTTTTAAACTGCTTCATCTTTCTTCCCTACCTCATTTCTTCTTTCCCGCAGAAAATTTTATTATTTCACAACAAAAGCACATTTTTTTCCTGAAAATAAGTTCCTTGTGTTGGTAGTAATGTATTAATTTACTGGTAAAGTTTGTTTGCTCTATTACTATGTAAAACTTAGGGTTACGTGATACAGGTGAAATGATGGCTGAACTCTGCTGCTGTACACTGATGCTGCTAAGGCAAGAACAAGATGACAGAATTATCATCCATTTGTTTGGCCACTTTCCCAACAGAATACAACTCTGCATCTAAATAAGCACAACTGGCAGAGTGGGAGAATCACTGAGTAGCTGGTTATGTGTATTTTAAATGACAATATCCATCAGGAGTTTGGTAGGTCATTGTGGTATGCAGGCTTCTCTAGGGTAACAGAACTGGTAGAATGAATATAGACACATACAACTTATTAAATTAAATGAGCTTACTTGGGAATAGTAGCAATGACTGAATCACTCCTGAGAGGCCTACCCTGTAGTTGAGGCTGTGTATTCAGCAGACGGAACAGTCCCACGGTGACTGTCTCACACCAGAGGGGCTGACAAGGCTGTAGTTGCTCAGTACGTGGGGCTGGGTGCCTCAGCAGTCCCGATCAATGCTGGTCCTGAGTCAACGATCAAAGCCTGGAGACCCTGGTTTAGATATCAGTGAAATGGCCAGTGGCTGTAACGATGGGATAAGTTAACTTGCTGTCAGGAGGATGGCACAGGGAGCAGCAAGCAAATGATCTTCCTTCTTTCATGGCCCCACATTTGGAGTGTGTCTTTCCACAATTAGGACAGTTCTTTCTGCCAAGCCTTCTGCTTTTGGGTGTGCTACCCATGGATATGTTGATGAACATCCAGGCTCATCCCATTTCCTTGATACTGTGAGTAAACACACATGGATATGCAGTTGCCTATGTGGTAGGATTCAGAAGCATTTTTAAAAAAAATATTTAGTATGTCATTTGTATGTGTGCTTTCAATATGGGTGCATATGTATGCTGGTGCCATGGTGCATATGGGACACTCCGAGGATCTCTTATGGACTTTGATTGTATCATTTCCACAACTGGGTCTGGGGATGGTTAAACCATGTGTCTTAGCCAACTGAGTGATTTTTCTAGCTTCGTGATAGAATTTAGAGTCCCTTGGTAAGGTACCCTGGCATGATAGAGTTAAATCAACTGGTAGTTCTAATTTGTTTTTGTCAGAAGCCTCCACACTGATTTCTATAGGGCTCCATCAGTCTACACTCCCATCAGGAGTGAATAAGGGCCCCTTTCTGCCCATACTGCTTCTAACACTTATTATTTATTTTCTTTATGTTTCTGCTCTCACTAGGGTCAGATGGCATCTCAGCTAGTTTTGATTTACATTCCCATGATGTGGATGTTAAACATTAAAAAAATGTATTCTTATTTGTGTTTTTTTCTCTTGAAAACTATCTGACAAGTTTATTAGCCCATTTATTTTTATTTCCAAACTTTTATTTATTTTTGTATACATGAGTGTTTTGCCTTTATGTATATCTGTGCACTGTGTGTATGTGTGTGTGTGTGTGTGCGTGTGCGTGTGTGTGGGTGTGTGCGTGTATGTGTGTGTGTGCATGCCTGGTGTTCACAGAGGCCAGAAGTGGGAGTTAGATCCCTTGGAATTGTACTTACAGACAG